GGGGGGGGCCACCAGGGACTTGGGGGCCCGGATTTGGGTGCCCGGGGTGGGGGTCACTCACATGGGGGTGGGCCTCCATCTCGCGCAGGGCCTTGATCTCGCGCAGGGTCTGGGGGGGCAGCCCCTCCTCGGGGCGCCGCAGGGACACCTTCTTGAGGGCCACCAGCTCCCCGGTCTGGGGGGGCACGGGGGTCAGGCAGGAGCCTGAGGCAGGCGGGGACCCCCGGCCCCACAGCCCAGCAGCCCCACAACCCAAACCCGGCCCCACAGCCCCACAGCCCGACCCCACAGCCCGGCCTCAAAGCCCCACAGCCTGGCCCCACAGCCCAGCAGTCCCACAACCCAAACTCAGCCCCACAACCCAAACCCGGCCCCACAGCCCCACAGCCCGGCTCCAGAGCCCGGCCCCGGCCCCACCTCGCGGTGCTTGGCCTTGAACACGACACCGTGCGCGCCCTCGCCGATGCGGCCCAGCACGATGTACTGCTCCATGATGCTGCCGCTACGCCGCCGCGGGGCATTGTGGGCCGGGGTCGGACCGCCACCGGCCCACAATGCACCGCGCGGCACCCGCGGCACCTGGTTGCCATGGCGATAAGCCGCCCCCCTGACAACCGGCCCTGGCAACAGCCAATAGCGCCCCGTTCTGCCCAATTAGGCCCCGCCCCTAGCAACGCGCTCCCTGGCAACAGGCCACGCCCCTAGCATCCCTCACTGCATCCTAGCAAACAGCCCGGTTAGGCCCAGCCCCTAGCAACGCAACAGACCCTAGCAACACGAGACAGAGCACGGCAACGAGGCCCCGCCCATAACAACAGAGCCCCGCCCTTAACAACCAGGTCCCGCCCCCCCAGCATCCCCCGCTCCTCGGCAACCGCGCCCCGCCCCTGGCAACGGCAGCCCCGTGGCGCTCCGCCATTTGGCCGCGCTGCGCTCTGATTGGTCAGCGCCGCTTCTCGGGGAGGGACGGCGGGCGCTGATTGGTAGGTGGGGGACCCCGCCCCTTTCCCCTTAGGCAGGCGGGCGGGCGGGCGGGCGACGACGCCGGGCGAGGCGCGGGCGGGGGATTTGGGGGGATTTTGGGTTTTTTTGGGGTTTATTTTGGGTTTTTTGGGAGGTCCCGGCACGCAGCGAGCCCCGCTCGGGTCGGGATGGCGGCGTTGCCTCCGCGAGAGTTCGCGGCGCAGGTGCTGCCCGGCTGCGTGGTGCCCACGGCGCGGCAGGGCCTGGCCCAGCTCTGGCCGCTGCTGCTGCTCTGCCTCGGGGCGCGGCTGCTGCACCGGCTGCGTGAGTGGGGCCCGAGAGGGGGGACACGACACCGAGAGGCTGGGGGAACCCGGGGGTCTGGGGAGAACGGAGGGGTGGGGGGACACCCGAGGGTCTGGGGGGACATCCGGGGGTCCGGGGATTCCTGAGGTCCGGGGGTAACCGGGGGTCTGTGGAGGCCGGAGGGGTGGAGGAACACCCGAGGGTCTGGGGTGCGGGGGGTCTGGGGGTTTCCGGGGTCTGAGGGTTTCGTGGGTCTGGGGGGTTCCAGGGCTCTGGGGGAATCTGGGGGAATCTGGGGGGTCCCGGGTGCTGCAGTGGCTCCGTGAGGGGCCAGGGGTGGGGGAATATGCGGGGGTCTGAGGGAATCGGGGGGTCCCGGAGCTTTGGGGGGTGCGGAGGGGTTTGGGAATTTCGGGCTCTGGGGGACGGCTGAGCGGACTGGAGGGGTCGGGAGGAGTTGGGGGGTCCCGGGGGGTCAGGGGGGATCCCGCAGGTCCAGATGGGCCCCAGGGTCTGGGGGTGGCCGATGGAGTCCGGAGGGGCTCGGGGGACTGGGAGGAACCCGGGGGGGGGTCTGGGGGTCTGGGGAGGGGCTCGGGGGACTGGGAGGAACCCGGGGGGGGATCTGGGGGTCTGGGGAGGGGTCCGGGAAGAGTGCTAGTGTTTGGGTGAGGGGACACCCGGGATTTGGGTGAGGGGACACCCGGGGGGTTTGGGGTGAAGGGACACCCGGGGTTTGGGCGTGTTGCAGGGTTTTGGGTGAGGAGACCCCCAGGGGTTCCAGGGTTTTGGGTGAGGGGACTCCTGGGCTTTGGGGGTTTTGGATGAGGGGACCCCCCAGGGTTTGGGGGTGATACCGGGTTTGGGTTCAGGTACCCCCGGAGTTTGGGGGTTTCGAGTGAGGGGACCCCCAGGATTTGGGGATGTTGCCGGTTTTGGGTTCAGGGTCCCCCGGGGTTTGGGGATGCTGCTGGTTTTGGGTTCAGGGACCCCCGGGGTTTGGGGGCACTGCCGGCTCGGGGGCACCCCCTGATCGCTGTGCCACAGCGCTGCCGCGGGGCGGGAAGCACGCGGGGGCGGCGGCCGGGGGGCTCCTGGCCCTGCACCATTTCTTCGGGGCGCAGGCGCTGTGGGTGGCTCTGCTGAGCGGGCTCTGCGTGCTCACCCTGCTGCTGAGCCGGGCCCGCGCCCACCGCGGGCTCTGCCTCGCCCTGGCCGCCCTCAGCTACCTGCTCATGGGGTACGGCCCAATGGGGGGCACTGGGAGGCACTGGGAGGGGGTTTGGGGGCACTGGGAATGGGTCTGGGGGGGCTCTGCCTCACCCTGGCCACCCTCAGCTACCTGCTCATGGGGTACGGACCAATGGGGGGCACTGGGAGGGGGACTGGGGACACTGGGACGGGGGTTCAGGGTGATTTGGGGCATTGGGAGAGCATTTGAGGGTGCTGGGAGGGGTACTGGGGGCACTGGGAGGGGGTTGGGGGTGATTTGAGGGTGCTGGGAGGCGACTGGGGGCGCTCTGCCTCACCCTCGCTGCTCTCAGCTAGCTGCTCTTGGGGGTACGGGACACTGGGGGGGTCCTTTGGGGGCACTGGGAGGGACTGGGAAGGGGTTTGGGGGCACTGGGAGGGTGCTGGCAGCAGCTGGAAGAGGAACTGGGCAGAAATGGGGAAGAACTGGGAGAAACTGGGAAGGATTGAGAGCAGGGACTGGGAGTGACCGGGGGCAGTGGGATGAAATTGGTGGGATTGAACTGGAAGTGACTGGGAAGGATTGGGAGCTCTGATTGGGAAGGAGACTAGGATGAGCTGGGGGGTTGGGGACGCCAAACTGGGAGTGACTGGGAGAGACTGGGGGCACTGGGATGAACTGGGGGGTTGATGGAATTGAGCTGGGAGTGACTGGGGAAGGATTGAGAGCTCTGACTGGGATGGACTGGGGGCACTGGGGGGTTGGGCACACTGAACTGGGAGTGACTGGGATGGACTGGGGGCACTGGGCGGTTGGGCACACTGAACTGGGAGTGACTGGGAGCCCCCCCAGGGAGCTGCACATGGTGGACACGGTCACGTGGCACAAGATGCGAGGTGAGACCCCCTCACCCCCGGACCCCCAGATCGCCCACAGACCCCATCCCCCCCCCACGCTTTGGGGATCCCTCCGATTTTGGGGTGCCCCCTGATTTTGGAGTCCCCCCCGATGTCTGGGTGCCCGCTGTTTCGGTGTCCCCCCCGATGTCTGGGTGCCCGCTGTTTCGGTGTCCCCCCCGATGTCTGGGTGCCCGCTGTTTCGGTGTCCCCCCCGATGTCTGGGTGCCCGCTGTTTCGGTGTCCCCCCCGATGTCTGGGTGCCCGCTGTTTCGGTGTCCCCCCCGATGTCTGGGTGTGCCGGGGTGCCCGCTGTTTCGGTGTCCCCCCCGATGCCGGGGTGCCCGCTGTTTCGGTGTTCCCCCCGATGCCGGGGTGCCCGCTGTTTCGGGGTCCCCCCCGATGCCGGCACGCCCGTGATGCGCTGTCCCCGCTGTCCCGGCGCGGCGGCAGGGGCGCAGATGGTGGTGGCCATGAAGGCCGTGTCGCTGGGCTTCGACCTGGACCGCGGCGCGGGCGCGGCCGAGCCCAGCCCGGCGCAGGTGCTGGGCTACCTCTGCTCGCCCGGCTCCGTGGTCTTCGGGCCCTGGGAGCCCTTCGGCAGCTACCTGAGAGCCGTGGAGGGGCCGCCCCTGGTACGGGAACGCGGGGAACAGCGGGGGAAAACGGGGATTGGGGGGGAAATAAATGGGGGTTTGGGGGGAAAGTGGGGATTGGGGGGAGATGGGGGTTTGAGGAAAACGGGGATTGCGGGAAAATGGGGCTTTGAGGGGGAAAACCGGGAATTTGGGGAAAATAGGGATTTGGGGAGTTTGAGGGGAAATGGTGAATTGGGGGGAAATAGGGGATTTGGAGGGAAATGGGGATTTGGGGGAAATTGGGGAAATAGGGTGTTTGGGGGCAAATGGAGGATTAGGGGAGCTAGAGGTAAGCCTTTAAAAAGTTTCCATAAG